GTGGAGTCTCCTTCGCTGGAGATATTCAAAAGCCGTCTGGATGTGATCCTGGGCAATATGCTCTAGGTGACCCTGCTTGAACAGGGAGGTTGGACTAGATGATCTCCAGAGGTCCCTTCCAACCTAAACGATTCTGTGATTCTGTGATTCTGTGATTCTGTGATAAATTGTTAACAGTTGATAGAATATTTTAACATATACATATTTATTTTCTTTTTAATACAGCTTTGTTGTCATTCGCCTTTCCTTCCACTTGGAAAACACGTATCTTCTCCTCTTTGTTCAGGCTCTGGAGGAAGCCATCGGTAGCACAATGGCTAATGTGGTACTGTATCGGAAAAAAGAAAACCCATATAAAATAGTTGTTGTGCTATCTGTATCGAAAGAATTGACCTGGGAACTTCAAAATCTGCGAGAGGAGGGCTACTGTGGTCCCCCAGAACCAACAAAGCCATTTCCATTAAGAGAAGGAGAGCAAATTCATATGAAATTTAGTGGCAATATATTTGCTTCAGGTAAGGTAATTATTTCATGCTTCTAAATTAACATTATCAATTACCCAAACTGTTCAGAAATATGTTATGTGAACATCGATAGGTTGTGAATACTTAGAGAATAATCAGTTATTTCAGTGTTTTATTTCCTGTAAATGATAGGTTCTTGGGACCACACAGGAAACTGCTCTGCTTTAACTGTAAAATGGAAGGTACTAGATTAAAAAAATCCTGGACTGCTCTAGTGGACCAAGCTTTGAGCACAAGGTTTGGACTAGACACTCTTCAGGTGTCCCTTTGACCCTTAGCAATTCTGTGATATCGTGAAACCTAATCCCTCGAAACCAATTGGTGTCTGTCTTTTATTTCAAAAGGCCAGGATTCTATCATTGGCTTTTTAATTTAAAGAGTGTTTGACAAGGATTAAACAGATTTCAAACAAAAATAAACTTTCTGCTCTTTTATCTATGTAAATTCAGTTAGAGTGAGCAAGGTTCAACACTGAAATCCAGGGCAAAATACGCTGAAATCCAGGGCAGAATAGTGCTTTTGTGAGTTGCACTATGAATTGAGGTGATAAAAGAGAATTGTTACACTTTCCTTTAGCAGTCATGAAAATTCCATTCACTAACTGTCACCATTCAGTTTTTGCTTAGCTGGAGAAGAGGTAATAAGCCTCAGGAAAATGTCCACCCAAAATTATGTATAGTCTCTTCTGTCAGCTTTGCAAATCAGCTGCCAGTAGGTATTTGGCCACCTGAAGATTTTGTACATCTTATATGAACTCTTCTGCTGAGAACGCCACTTAGACTAAAGAAAGTATTACTCTGCAAAAAGAAGTCTTTGGCTTTCATGGAACGCTGCTTATCCATGGAAGGTATATAGGGTTACAGGTGTATCACTTAGAATTATAAACCCTAAAAACACACATACCTCTCTGTCCCCAGTTGCTGAGAAGTTTCTTTACGCGAGTAGGTGCTATTTCAGTAACATGTAACAAAAAGCATACACTTCTTTTTAGAGACAGGTATCTGTATTGAATAACCAGAAAGCATATACTTCTAATTCCATTTCCAAAACAACTTTAATTATTTTTCCATCTGTGATAGGTATTTTATTAATTTTATCACCTTCTATGTTCCTTACTTTTCAACCTGCAGCACAGACTCCATTAGTTATTCCCTATGCTTTACCTCTAGCTTAAGGGTTAAAACAGCTAACTGTGACGACCTTTTAGCTGCTGAAGTAGCCTGGCAAGAACGTGTAAGCCCTAAATATTAAATATGAAGTACTAACAATCACAAAGAACAACAGACTATTATGTAGGTGATTAGTTCTGTTTGACTCACCTTAACTAATTATTTTAGAGGCTGTACACACAAACATAGTGTAAGAAATTCTTCCTTTTGTGTGAACTGCAGAAAATGGAAAAGATTTTGGAAAAGCCTACAGGCTTATTTTTCACTCGCAAAGAAAGTCCAGGCTGGAGCTCCAAATCAAAGAAGTGGATGAATTTGGTAACTACAGCTCACCTCATTACAAAGGAACAGCAGTGTTTTATAAAATTACCAGAGAGATGATAGCCAAGGACTGGGAACAGCCCCTTCCACATGATGACTATCAACACCAGTCTCCAATATGCAAATTAGCACTAACATTACCAAAGGTGGGTTTCTCATTTGATGATGTTACAAATCTTTCACTTTTTCCCTTACCATGTATTCATTAAGCAAAAAGACCTCGGTATGTTTTTTGCGTGCCGGATACACAGAGAGGTGTGTCATGGGGCGGTCCTGATCTGTCAGCAAAGTAGCAATGCCCTTAGAGTTTCTCTTGGCAGGTGGGGGGACCCGCATCCAAGCAGCAGTGCGGACAAAGCAGATGCACTTAGCAAGTAGAAGATCTTCACTCATTTGCTCCCCTAAAATGGATGGCCTCAAAAAATCGGTACTTAAGTTTCAGTAGATACTTCTTGTATCTTTGTGTTGGAAGTAGAGTACCGCAAATTGTAGGAGCATTAAACGGTTTGTGTAGCCTATCTTTCTCCTACACTCACAGTGGTGTCACCATTTAAATAATGACTTTTTCTTCTTATGATTGAAAAGGCTCTGCACTACAGCCACGTGGGCAATTGACTCCATCTCTAGCAAAAGCTATTCCTACATAAATTAACCTTTAAAATTCCTTGAATGAAATTTCATTCTGATTTTTCCAAGGGCCTGTATATCAATATTATAATAATAAATAATAAAAATGCTGCCTCTACACTACCAATATTATATTTGCATAAATTTTAGTGTCAAAGTATGTGCAATAACACTTGGTCTAAATCTCTGGTGACATGCAGTAACATTATTTTCTTTTTTTAATTGACTTTTATTTAAAATATCACCTAATTGACTTTTATTTAAAATAACACAGGGAAAATACAGTGGATCAGATTCTGATGTTAAGTGTGTGTGTGCATATCAGGAATACTTCTATCAGTTTCAGAGTAGTTGTATGGACGTGAAACTGGGCTAGGGAGTTTAAAAAGCTTATTTTGCCTTCTTCTGTCAGTCCTGTGTGATATCTACTAGAATGTGGTCATGTCTGAGAGGTCTATTTAAGAAAGCACTTCAGTGTTACTGATGGAAATCGGAGTGCTTTGCAAAAAGATATTATTGTAACACATACAAGCATTATCGAATTACTATTCTGCCAAAGTTTTAGGCCTAATGACTGTCTAACAGCAAAGTAGCATGTGATCCTCATAACCATTCTTCAGAAAGGCAGTTTCTTAGCTAAAGGAAGGGCCTTCTAGACTAGAAAACTACTTAGACAGTTCCAGTATTTTACTTACACCGTCAACCAGAAAAGTAAGGCCACATGCCAGTGCAGCTGAACTGTAGGTGAATTTAGCTCTTCACCACAGATACTTAATCTTTCAAGGTAGATTTCACATTTCAGATCTAACATATTATATATTATTACATTATTTCTAGACAATACTCATTTTCAATTCTCATCATTTTTAGTACTATTTTAACACTAAGTAGCATAAAGTAGTTCAGATTAAAGAAAATCCATGGGTAACTGAGTTCATCTACAATAACTTTGAAAATGCCACATAGAGTTTTGAGGTGCTAAATTCTCATTAATGAACAAGTTTAGATAGAAACGCATAATTAAACAAAGTAAAAGAAAGTGCTCTAGAGTGTTAGAAGAAAAGCAGTGCCCCCTTTGGAAGAGCCTTTTATTCCCTTTATTTTGAGTTTTTTTTTTTTCTGGCCATGTTACACTATCCTCAAACTCATGTGAGTCCAGTGACAGAATTGCTGTAGAAGCATGCAAGACAATGCAGAATCAGATCCCAAGATTTCTACAACACGATGGTTTTGCATTGCCAAGCAGCAAATGCTGTGGTCAGTGTTTACACCAAAATCCCCTACCAGGTAAGACAACTGAGTATAGACCTAAGGAAAAGTTGTTTAACTCATAGGTGAGTAGTGAAGTCAGTTTAGGATTGTATTGACCTTTTGGATGTGTAACTCTATACGTGTGAAACTCTCCAACTTTTAAACTTACAAAAGTATTCAACATAAGCTCAGCATGGTCTATGACTGAGTATACCTAAAAGAAAAAGACGTTTCCTGTTATTAATTCACAAACGGTTTAGAAAGGAAGCTCAATGAATAAATATGGAGCAAGTCTCATAAGGGATCTTGTGCAATATCAGCAGGGTAGCACGATTTAAACTGTGTAACCAAAGTACATTTAACATGGTCACCGAAAGAGGACAGTTAGAGCTTCGAACCAAAAAAAAACTGAACTTCACTTGATACAAATTAATCTCATCTTGTGCCAAGTGCTTATGTAAGTACTTTCTTGTTCTGTATGGAGTAGGAAACAAGAGTAGAGCCCACAAGACCTAATTCCTCTTTCTCAGTCATAGAGAAAAAGAGCAAAGACTTTTTCCTTCTTTCCAAAGGAAGAGAGAGGAAAAACTCTGCACTTTCTGATGAAATTTGCCATTTGAATTATGATCTTTAGTGATTTAGATTTAGAAGCTGAACCATGTAAAAATTATTAACTACAGCTACAAACATAGCATGATTTATAGACCTAATAGTTTGTAGTTTTCATTCTTGAAATAATGCTGTATGCACACAGTTATAGTAAGTACACAGGGTCAGGCAGGCAAATTCAATGTAGTATTTGAAATTAGAATCTATTTTGTGTAGGAACGTTCCATACAGATTTTCTATAAGCCCAATTTCTATACAGCAGTTATGACATTATGCTACTGAACAAATATTCATAAAATTGCATAAATCATAATCTTTGTAATAAGATGCAATAAACATCCAGTTGGTCCAAACAGACCTAGTTTCATTATTTAAATAGTTGTATATTGATTTATTCCAGCTGAGGATGTGGCCTCGTTTCCAATAATGACATAAGTCCTCTATGTAGGTAGAATCAATCTTAAATGTTGATTTACCGTGATCCACCTCCTTCTGCTCCTCACCCCTGCCTCATTTTATCATTTCTTTTCCCTCAACACATTTTCTTCGGTAGCATGAAAAGTTGATCAAACGTCCACGAAGCACAAGAAGAGTTTCTTCTGATTCATCGGGTAAGAACACTTATATAATGTATTAACATTAATATAAATAAAATTATATTAGATAGCTTTTTTTTTTATTTCTTAATGCCAGGAGTTATTTTAGTGGTAACTGACATTTTAAAATGCCATATTCAGAAAAAGTGCATTAATTAAAAGACATTCAAAGATAGGAAGTGATCTGGTTACCAGGGAACAAAAGCTTTTGTAAGATAACATTGTGGTGGGGTGCTTAAACAGCATATTATATTATGCATAATAAGATTCAATTTGTACTAGAAAGCTATTGATGTATCAGTTATAGGAAATGAGTGAGCATTTTATTTTATTGCTAACGTTCCCCATGCAGTTCCAAAAATTATAGCTCATTGCTGAAGCTGCTATTGACTAAAGCCACTTCATGTCTCAGTACAGTTACCAAAAATTACATTAAAAATAAGAAGTGATGATGTTTCTTTTCTACTTCCACTACAGTCAAAAACAAACCATATTTAGTTTCAGAGTTCACCCACTTAGTCTCCAGATTTAGAAGACACCTTTTCAGAGGAAAGATTTACACAGCAGAATAATGATTTTATTTCACTAATTTTTGCCCAGAAGAAGCCCTGTGGGACAACTTGCTGTACTGGCTTGCAGAAGAGCTTGCAGAAGATAACACCCCAATGCTTGCTTTATGCTTACCTGTTCGGCACAGTGTACTTCAGCTTGTTAGGCTGAAGTGCCCTGATAATTTAACACACCAGATCTATGAGCTTCTTTGCTGCTGGAAAAAGACCCTTCCAAGATCAGCTAATAAACAGCAGCTCCTGTCTCGTTATTTGCGGAAGAGTGGCAGAAGTGATCTTTCAGAAGAACTTCGTTTAAAGTGGGAAAATAAAATGTTCACTTGACAGAATCATCGACAACTAATAGCCCAATTCCTCTTTCACTCTTGTTGAGATGTATGAATATTTCTATGATATCTTCTGAGGAACTGTTTCTTTTTATAACCCTCCTCACATTTTTAAGTTTTCAGTAGATTAAAAAGTGACAGTGATTACCAGTCAGGGATCTGTCTGCTCTTTTATTTGTTACTTTGCAACTTCTTTACTGCAGCAAAACGTAGCAATAATGCCCTTGCTTGCTAAAAGTGAACCTGTCTTCTGCAGAGAAGATATTGAAAATAGATGTATGAAGAATTATAGCCTGGTCTGAATAGTCTTCTAAAGACTCTAATTGTTTGCACGTGCCATACTCACTTGGTAGAGGGTTATATTTGTATATATTTTGCAAACTAGGAATTATTCACTATACTTCATTAAAATCATAGGAATCACTCCACAATATATTGATTATTGTATCTCCAAAAGAAATTGCTACTAGATTCTTCAGAGGAGAAGACAATGGACCATTATAATACAGAGAAAATTTGTCTTACTTTCAGGTACCCTTAATGAATGTTTTTATCCTTGTGAATGTCATGGCAGATTTTAGTGTTACCACAAATGAGCATCTAATCCATTCCCAGAAATTACCAAGTTTCTTGCTTCACTATTATCTGTCATGGTAATGATTTTTTTTTCACATTAAAATCAAATTTGGAAAATAGAATATTTCTTCTTGTAAGTTTTAAAATGTCTTGCTTTGTAATTTTACTGATTATATTGAGCAAGTATATTTGTGTCACTCATTAGCCACATATTTTAATCTCTGCTGTCTCATTTGCCTTCAAAATACTAAGTAAGATTAAGCTAATTTTTAAAATTCAGAACAACAACAGGGCTGGACTTTTATAACCATGTTTTTACTGAAATAATATTCTAATTGACAGTCTTTGGTTAGTCACCCCTACATTGCAATCTACCTGATACAACACACCACAAGTTTCTTTAAAAGCTGAACTCTGACATTTCTCTTAAGGGTTGAAAGTGTCTGGCAAGTCCCAGTGAATCACAGCTGTGGGGGAAAGAAGACTGCTTGGTATTTACACATGCAAATATCAATTTGTGATTAGACAGCCAGTCACATCTCTGCATTTTTCCTAATGCTCAAGCAACGTGCATGTAGATGCAGCTCTTGGTTCAAGTTCAGGCCACCTGTGTATCCTTATTATGTTAGTTATAACCATTCTCCTTGATTCAAAGCAGCAATTCTATTCCTCTTTCAGCCCTCACCACCACTTTAATCATACTTTAGATTTTTATTATCTAAACTTTAACAATATTTAGATTATTTAGAATCTCTGAATATCTTGCTGACAAATCTTTTGATCTGTATTTTTAATCTGTAGATGTTATTTTCAGGGAACAGATAGTCACAACATTTCAAATCACTACTATATATGAGAAAATATAGAAAGAAAAAAAGATTATAGAAAGATTATTAAAAGATTATAGAAAAAAAGATTAAAAGGAATAGTATTCATGTGATGTTTAATTAATCTACTCAGTAATGTCTCAACCGGTAGGATTATCATTTTTAATTTTATGACAGAGTACACAAGGTACTTCACCCCTTTATTGTGACATAACCACCCCTTCACTTTTTAATCTGTTCTTTAAATATATATATATATCTATATATATAATCTGACTTCTTATTGTGAGAGAAACCAGTGTATTTACAGCAGAAAACATTATTATACTTTTCTCATTGCACTAATACATACTGTCATTAGGTCTTTTGTCATCTGTACCTTCTCTTTAGGAATGAATATTCTGCTACAGGCCCAGCAGATACAGTCAGAACGTATATACAGTATGATCATGCTTCAAGACATTATGGTAATACAAATAATACTGGAAATACTGCAACAGACTGGACTTCATTTTGCCATCTACACTAAAAAGCAATCTACTAAAACTACCAGCATTCTGCCACAAGATGGCCTCTGCGTCTAACAAAAACATAACACCTGTGTTTCACTTAACTGGAAAATAAGTGAATAAAACATCATTAAAAACTAAAACTCATCTGTAAAGACCCAGATACACCACTGCTTGTGCCTTGCAGAATCATAAACGTTAGTGCAAAGCAGTGAAAACAGTGGGCATTTCAGGAGGAGCTATGTAACAGGGCCAACCGCATTCAGCTTTCTCTTCACAGGTATTCCAGATTACTTTTTACACTAATGGATATGGCACAGAACGGATTGTTTTTTTCCACAGCTCAGTGTAACAGTTACTATTTTGGTTGTATCAAACCTACATGTAGCATCCAAACGGTAGTTATTTTCCCTTCCTATCAGCTATTTCTTTCCCATCTTCATTAACATGCTGACACAATTGACCATGGAGATCCATAAATAAGGGTGACCTCCTGCTGGGACCTGGTGGGCAGCAGCAAGGCCAGGGTTCAGGTGTAAAGCAATCGCTACCACAAAAGCACTCTGAGTCCCCAGGCACAAACCTAGGAAAATTATACTAAATTTGCTGGTGTTAAAAGCTAATTTTTTTAGCTGCAAACACAAATTGGGACTAAGCAAAGTATATATTTTTATTAAAGGGGGAGAAAACATTATTTTCCTCGGAGGAGGTAACTGTTAGGCCTGCTAGTTGTTTTCCTCTTCTTCCAGTGACTCTCACTCACAGTTTGAAACTAGTAACTAGCCTTGCTGTTCAGCAAGGCCCAGTAAAGCTGAGCTGGTTGAGCGCTGTGCTTTCTCTCTCTTCCTCTCTCCGTTTGTCTGTAGCCACCATGGCTACCCTCACATTTCTTCACACTTCCTTGTTATTTCAGCTCCTGGAAGAGCACGCGTAGCGTTTAGAACTGAGCGCACTCTCTTTCAACTCACAAAAACAGCACATGCCTCCCAGGAGGCCTTCATGCAGTATCCTGCTTTTCTCCTCTCCTCTCTAGGTCCATCCTTTGCATACCAATTTTGAAAGATAACACCTTAGAATAGCGCAATCAGGTACGTTTAGATCGTTGACCTAGACTTCAAAGTACCCTTACAATTACAAACAGGTCTTTAGCTTAACATATGGCTCCCTTTTAACTAAAATGCCTCAGATATTATATATATAAAATAAAACAAGATATGCAAAAGAAGCATGTTTATGCCTGTCCACTTTTTCCCTTTGTTCTATCAGTTGTCCACAGAAGCACCCTCCTTGCCTGGATCCCCCTTCCCTCAGGTACTCCTACTAGGAGAAGGAGGAGGGAATATGGGGGTTTTGCTCTCATGTTAGCTATCACCAACATGTTTATAGTCAGATATAGTTTTTATTGTAATCTCTACATTAGAGAATTAAGAGAGTCTTCCTCCTCTAAAGTTCTTAGTCTGGAAAAACCTTCAAATAAAACAGGTTTCAGACCAAAACAGTTTTCTATGCAAGAGAATAATGAAATCGGCAGCAATTAAACCCTAAAATGTAGCCTTTTATGACTGAAGTAACTTAAACTAGCAGAACCCAAACAGACCTTGTAGAAAAGGGACTGCTCTGTAGAGAGCACTAGGATGGCAATAGGCCCCGATCTCCAACCTTATAGAAGGAAGAATGCTGATTCTTTGCAAACAGCAAATGCCAGTCATTTGCTGACTGAACTACTGCTGTGGAAATCCAATTTCCTATCTGGCATTAAATCTCTCCTTTACTTTTCATTCAATCAAATACTGTCTGTTAAAGGAAAGATTCCCTCAGTGAGATTCGGACTTAGTGAACCAAAACCAAAATGTAATAAAAGACTGCAGTTTGTAAGGGCCAAATCTGTACTATGTTTTTATTGGCAGCAACAGAATTATGCAGGACTGACAGCAAAATGCGAGCTTTATTGCTTAAAATGGATGCAGTTTCTACCCCTAAATAAAAGGTGATGCTGCAGTTTTCTGCTCCTCAGTAAAAGCAACTGAACAGAAAAGGACCTTAGCTAGGAAGGCAGTTGCTCATAAAGAAACCACCTACACAAGTATAATTTGACTGACTGAAGACAGAAGCTAATTATTTAAATAATGAGCAGTTAAGCAGAAAAGAAAGGAAGAAACATGTGTTTTCCTTCTTCTACATTATAGGATGGGTGGACAACTTTATCTGAAACGGATGAAGCATAAAGGTACAAAGGAGATTTTGCATATTCAACATTCAAAATACAACTTCTCTTTACTGAGTGAAACAGTAGTCAATAAACAGGATCAGTAAGCTGTTGAAGACAATCGATGGGTTTAATTAAAAAAATTAAGATGACACTTACATCACATCCAAGGACCTTGCAAATATGGCAAGGTTCTTTTTTTCTAGGTTTCTAGTTGATATTTTTCTAGTTTCTTTTTTTCAGTTCCACAATGGAAAGCACAACTTTAAAGTTGATTCCTCCTATTGTGTACCATTTTTTCTCCTGAGAAGCACTCAACAGGTCACAGAATCACAGAGAATGGTTGAGCCTCGAAGGGACCTCTGGAGATCATCTAGTCCAACCACCCTGCTCTAGGGTCCTCTAGAGCACATGGCCCAGGATTGTGTCCACACGGGTTTTGAATATCTCCAGCGAAGGAGACTCCACTACCTCCCCGGGCAACCTCTCCCAGTGCTCAGTCACCCTCACAGGAAAGAAGTTTTTCCTCAGGTTCTGATGGAACTGCCTGTGTTTCAGTTTGTGCCCGTTGCCTCTTGTCCTGTCTCTGGGCACCACAGAAAAGAGGCTGGCCTCATCCTCTCGACACCCTCCCTTCAGATACTTGTACACACTGATGAGATCCCCCCTCAGGCTTCTCTTCCCCAGGCTCAACAGGCCCAGCTCTCGCAGCCTTTCCTCATAGGAGAGATGCTCCAGTCCCCTCACCATCTTAGTAGCCCTCTGCGGGACTCGCTTCAGGAGCTCCACGTCTCTCTTGTACTGGGGAGCCCAGAACTGGACCCAGTACTCCAGATGAGGCCTCCCCAGGGCTGAGTAGAGGGGCAGGATCACCTCCCTC